GCCATCACGCAATCCGTGTCAGTCTTCTTCGATGTAGACCCTCTCGCCGACTTGGTGGCTGCCACCCTTATGGGTGTGGTCGCCATATCCCCCTCAAAGGTTATCTTGATGCTCTGGCTCCTGACCGGCTCCTTTTCTTTACTCGGCTTTACTCTCCTTGCTTCGACATTCTCCTTCATCRAAGGGAACATCGATACATCTCCCAGACCATCTGCCCACTTGACGTACTTGCGGTCATCAAGCACGACAAGTCCCTTATCTATTGTCCGTTTGAGGTCCGGGCAATCCCTCTTGATATGATCTTCTCCTCTACAGTAGACGCATGAGTTCCTGGGAGTAGATGGCCTATCGTCTGCGCTTCTAGAGATCGAACTCCTGGCTGCCTTAGGGTCAGGCGACTTCGGATATGGTTCTTATGAGACGCCATATCCCCCTCTCTCATTCCGACCGCGCGAATCGTTGCGGCGGTCTCCTCCAGACCCTCCTTGCTCAAACCGCCCTCGCGAATCATTCCGGCGGTCCCCCGAGTCATATCGCCCTCGTGACTCATCTTGTCGATCCCCTCGGTTGTACCACCCCCGCGACTCGTCGCGCTGCTCTCTCGCATCTCCCCTACGCTCAAACGGTCCGCGCGACCCATCTCGTCGTTCCCAATCCTGATCTCCTCTTTCATACCTACCACCTCTGTAGCCATCTCGACCCGACCTCTCGTATCTATCGTCCCTATATCCGTCTCGGTCCGATCTCTCGTATCTTCCGTCCCTATATCCATCTCGGTTTGATCTCTCGTATCTGTCATTCCTTTATCCATCTCGGTCTGATCTCCCGTATCTGTCGTCTCTATATCCATCTCGTCGGCCCTGATCTGTCTCCCATCGGCCGCGGGAGTCGCCTCTACCACGATCGGCCTCATAGCGAGGGCTTCGCGGGTAATCATCCAGCCTCTTTGCTCGCACAAACGACTCGCGATCTCTGCGGTCTCGGTCAATCTCATCATCCCTACGTCGCCATGGCTCATCGTCTCTCTCTCTTCCGCTAGCACGATAATCAGTCAGCGTCCGGGGATTTCTATCCTCGACACTCCTCCAGGAATCGTTGTTCCTACGGTCCCAGCGAAGTGAATAGGGCCCGCCAGGTTTGTCCCGGTAGGCCGTGGCCCCTGTAGTGGTCACAATCTCTGTAACCTGTTTCGTCAATCCCTTCACCATGTCCCGTATCTCCTTCACTTCCTCTGCCACGGCCTCATTCTTCTCCGACCAGGGATAGTCCTTGAAATCAGGACATCTATTAGTGACATACTCCTTGTAGAGAGAGAAGTCATGTCTCCTCATCCCTCTCCACACCAAGTCCTTGTAATCGTCTGCCTCCGCCTTTATCGCGAGCTTTAGGACTTCAGGGAAATCAAGCCTGTCGCGCGGAA